TTGCATTGTTATTGCATATTCCCAGTTTGACCAAGGAAGCCAACACTGTTGATTTATTGCCTATTCTGAACAATGTTGGATACCAGGATCTATAGTTGAGTCCAGGCTACCCAGTCTCTTTAAGTGCCAAAAATGTGCTTAATTCATTGTCACCCTCAAAACAGTGTTGTCATGGTTATGTAGCTGTTTGCACACTGGGAGCAAAGCTGATAGATGCTGGGCCTTGTGCCTTCACATTGTCTGGCTGGGGGTAAAAGTCCTTGTCCTTGAACATATATAAACCCCTTTCATTGATCTGCCCAGCGTAGCACATCATGTGTTTTTCTTCTTCCTATTCCTTCTGTAGGGACTTTGGGACTGGAATTACATTCAGTGTGTTCAGACACTGTGTCTGTTCTGTTCAGGCATCTGGGGAGGGAGCAGTTCTGTTGCCCACAGAGGAGTGGCCTTGGTTCAATGCTGCCTCTCTTGGCATTCAGGGGTCCTTGCTGGCTGGTGACAAAGCCCATGTTGGCAGGGGAGGTGGCACTGAGGTCTGGCTGCAGGAGGAAAAAAATGAATGAGGGCCAACAGCAGAAAGAGTGAGAAGTGCTTTGTAGACATTGGCAATGCTGTTGGGTAGAGGCATCTCCTTCCCTGCTTTTTCTGATGGCCACTTGCACTGGTCAGTGTCATTAGCTGGGACTCATCTTCTGCCTCTCACTCTTTGGATAAGTGTTATTTTAGGAGGATTAACCTGAGTCCTGGTGTGTTCCTAATGTAGTTTTGAATTGTGTTTATGTGCTGTCATTTCTTATGCAATTTTGTCAAGCTTCCTGCATGTCTAGTTTGTGACCCAGAGGGAAATACAACTATGAATGCTGAAAGCTGACTTTGCTGAAAGCATGTTTCTTTTATCAGTTATGTTCTACTGATGCCAGCATACCAAACTTAAGAAATGCACCCTCGTTAATTACAGCAAAGTGATGTCTCAGCAAAGCTTTATGTACTAAGTGTAATTTGTGGTTTTATTGTGAATGATTTCCCTAAATATTTTAGCAGTCTGGATGAAGATACTGCTAAGTGACATGGACATGCTTTTCCTGTTTGGAGTTGTATTGTTCCTGTACAGTGCATTTACTCTGATTGTTGTAGCCTGACAAAGCTCAGCATGAATGGGAAACTGTGGGACAGAAATTATTTAAGCTGCAAAAACCAGCAGTCTTCTCACACAGGGATAAATGGTGAAATGTAGTGTTAGTCACTAAACCAATGTAATGGAGACATCATATATTAAACCAGTTTGAAATAGTTTGGTTTTTTAACCCCTGTAGTGGTTTGAAATGATGGGAAGAGCAAAGATTCGGGAAAACCTTTAAAGTAAAGCTATACAGTGAAAATTTATGCTCTTTCTATTTCTGAATATTTATGTATCTGGTGAGAAGATTTAGGCAAGGAAATCTAAGTTTCTCTATTTAGGTGTAAGATTGTGAAAAAACAGTTGAATGACACTGTGCTTTGACAAGTTTCTGTTGACTCAGGTGATGGTAAGAAGGTTTTACAACCAAGTATTCCTGTAAGTGGGTTGAACACTAACGAGTCTGACAGGAATAATCTGTTGTCCCTGACCCACAGCTTTTGGTAGTGCTGGGTAGGTATTGATCCCGTGCTGCAGACAGGAAGCAGGTCTGGGGTACCTTTGCCAGATGAATTGTTGGGCACTCCCCTTCCCTCCATGGGAGTGTGTATGGCTTTCCCACAGCTGCTGGTGTGAGGAGAAGCTGCCTGCAGATCCCCATGGTAGTGGGGCAGGAGTGACTTTCCTGAGGCATCTGTGCTGCCAGTGTGTGACCTGTAGAAGTAGGGAGGATTTTGTTGGTGAAGACAAGCTGAGCCTTGGTGAGCTGTGTCCCTCCAGCAGCAGCTGGTGATAGGATGGAGGGCACGGTGGTGCTTCCCTGCTGTGCCGTGGCTCAGCTGGGTCTCTGCCATCTGCTTGGTGAAAAAGGACAGGACACGGGCAAGGCCATGAATGATCTGGCTTTTGAGACACATGGGTGCCTGCAGGAGCAAAGGGGACTGTTGTGAGCTGCCAGGAGGACTTTATGGATGAGTTGCTCTCATTGCTGCTGCCTGGGTTGGGAGGCAAGGCTGCTCCTCACATAAAGTCTTCATGTCAGCTGTTGTAAGAAATCGTGCCTGAACAAACCATGTGATATAACATAAACTATTCAGTGCAATATAAAGGCTACTCAGTGCAAATCTCCAATCACCCAATGCAAAACAACAACTAAATAAACTATTTAGTGCAATACAACAAGCTGCTACTCAGCTCCAGCAACCAGAGCTGCCTAACTGTAAGATTTTTCCACTCTTGTGCCATACTATGTCCATGCAAAGGTATTTGGCAAAATATTAATTATCTAATTAATTTATGTGGTAATGGTCATGTGTGATGAAAGACTTTATATTGTAAGATATTAAGTACTTACTGAGGGCATCCCAGAGCACAGACACAGTTGTGTGTATATCAAGGTACTCATAATGATGCAATTTACTCCTCTGAATTACTGATCTATCTATTAGCTGCCTATTTATGTTGCAGTTTGGGGCACGTGAGGAAGAATGTCTGTGGCTTGCCAAGTGAGTCAATTCAGTGTTTATGATTTCTTGGTGATTTGCCAGGCAAACATCTGTGCCAAGTTTAGTTTCTCATGTGATCAGGAAGTGATACAGCAGGATGCACTGAGGACTTCCCCGGCTGTCTCCCCTCAGCACCCTGACAGGAATGTGGCAATTGTCTTGTGCTTTAAAGTAGAAATTTTGAAAGGCATGTAGAGCTAAATCTCAAATAGATGTCACTGACGTTCCCTTTGAAAGTCTGACGTGTTCCCTTTTCATTTCCTTTCAAGCTCAAACAATCACTTTTTAAAAGGAATTACCCAATCCCTGAGCATGTATCCTCCAATGAAAGTTTGCTTACAACTTTTACTCCTGTTGCTTCCCTGTCTGTGTATTAGTGTCAGTATTTAATTTCTCCTGGGATTATAGGTGTGGAATAAAGTACTGAACTTGCTTTGCTGGGCCAAATTGGCATCATAGCATTGAAACAACCCATGAGTGCTTGTGCACTATTGGAAATGGGAAGCATCAGCTTAAATGTAATTGCTGTTTAAAGTTTTGGGTTCCCCTTACATGGTTTGGAAAGGAATAAGGGGGATCATTCAAGTTGACCTCATGTGGAGAGCTCCTGTGAATTGTGAGTCTTCCTGCAAATGTGATATGAAGGGGTTGGATACATATGTATATTGTTTAATTTTCAAACACTAAAAGTAGCTGCAGTGAGCTGGTTCTTTTACACTGATGTATGTGCATATGCTCTTGTGGGAACCAACCACCAGAAAATATTTTCCTGTAATAACTGTAATGTGGTTTTGAAAAATCACCTTTATACTTTTTTTTTCCTGTTTTTTTTTTATAGAAGACTAGATGTGGTTTAATGTCTGTATTTAATACATGCAGAAAATACTTTACATGTTATTTGCCATTGGAAATAATAAGAGGACTTCATTCACTACTCAAACTTGGTTGGATGGTAAATCTTATAGGGTTTTTTTTCTAAACTTCTTTTTGTTCCCTTTTATTGCACATACATGTTTCTTAGCTTCTTTCAGGAATTATCTTTGGAATGGGACTGTGCATTTGGAGTAGATGTTCTTTAAAAGGAAGAACAGGGGCTTGACTTACCAAGTGAAATATTGTAGGATGTTTTTTGCAAGAATATTTCTGCCCATCTGCTGTTTGGTATTTTATGACAAGCAACTGTCACTTGGGCTCTTCAGCCTCTTGAGAGTGTGGAGATTTTTTGCTTCTTGAAGCATGTCATCACTCTGTCAATAAATAAACAGAGTGGGTCTACTCTGCTATATTTGAGCATTCCTGGATTTGGCACTGGTTTTGCTAGAGGACAGATGTCTGCTGCTGCAATACTGTATTTGATCCCATGTCAATCATGTGTTTGAGTTTATAGGACTTTGTCATAATTTCTACTCCTCTAGTACTTTTAGAGGTTCTTGATTTATCTCTACACTCTACTTGAGCTCTGAAATGTGAACAAATCTAATTTATCCAGGCTGCAGAGAAGCTTTTCCTGGTACTTTTTTGCCCTGTTTGTCTGTAGACGCAAAGAAATAATACATTTCAAAATCATGTATTCCCCATAATGTGTCTTACTGTGTTCTGGGTCAGCTGAATACTGAAATACAGGAACTGTGGATTAGCCTGCTGTCCATTAGCATTAGGAACATCCCCTGTTGCAGTAGCTGCCCATTAGAAATGTCTGCCAAAGAACTGAAACAGCCATTCTTCATTTGTCCTTCCATGGCTCCTTTTCCTACTGCCTTCCTTTTTTTTTTCTTTTAGCTCCTTTATAAAAAAAAAGAACAAAAACCCTCAAAATCTTGATGAATTTTTGGTTTTTTTCTCCTTTTATTTAGTGTAGTCAGGGTGAATTCAAAAGAAACATTCAAATTTTGCTGCCATTTGCTGTTGGCTGCATTTGTTTTTAAAAGAGCAGAGAAGCTGAAGTCTCTGTCACCAGGGCCCAGGACACAGCTTGTCTGGAAATAAAAGTTTCTGCCCTGGTGTGTGTCTGGGACTGAACCAAAAGCACAAGTGAAAGTGAAGCTACCACAGCACATAAAGTTTGTCCCTGTTGTTGGGGAACAGCATCTGCCTGCTTTGGGCCCGCTGTGAACTTGGCCAGACAAAATAGGTGGAAGGGCAGAAGGTGAGGAATGTCTGCATCCTATCATGAATTGGAGGAAATGACTGTCTGCGCTGGTGCGCTCCGCATCCTGCTGGCAGCCTGGCTAGCGCTGCAGGACACTGCACAAGGAGGAGTGCATTTAGCTCTGGTGTTTAAAATAGCTCCTAGGGACGAGAAGAAGCGCTTCAAAAATATGCTGTGGGTTTCCTATTGGCTTTCTTGAACTAACTGGAAACTTTCTGCTTTCTTTCAGGAGCATTTTTTACTCTGAAAACATTGCTGCTAAAAAACTCCAAACAGAAGGAGTAAATCCACTCAGCTTGTCAGGTCACTGGCTCAGCGTAACGGTGCTTTCATGAGGTGACGTTGGGCCAAAGTCAACTTTTCTTTCTCCTTTGTGAACCTGCAGCCAAGCAATGGGCCAGAAAATCTCAGGGAGCATAAAGTCTGTGGATGTGAGGGAGCCCCCTTATAGACCCGTGAAACGAGAGCTGAGAGGCCCGGATTTCTGCAAGCCCGCGCGCCTGGACATGCTGTTGGATATGCCCCCTGCCAAGCTGGAGGTCCAGTACAAACACGCCTGGAATAACGAAGATCGCTCGTTAAATATATTTGTAAAGGAGGACGACAAACTGACTTTCCACAGACACCCTGTGGCACAGAGCACAGATTGCATCCGGGGCAAGGTGGGCTACACGCGGGGCCTGCACGTGTGGCAGATCCACTGGCCCACGAGGCAGCGCGGGACTCACGCCGTGGTGGGCGTCTCCACGGCCGACGCGCCGCTGCACTCGGTGGGGTACACGTCCTTGGTTGGTAGCAACAATGAATCCTGGGGCTGGGATCTGGGGCGCAACAAACTCTACCACAACTGTAAAAACCAGCCCGGGGTCACGTACCCCGTCTTTTTGGAACCAGATGAGTCTTTTGTACTCCCAGACTCCTTACTGGTGGTTTTGGATATGGATGAAGGGACGCTTAGCTTCATGGTCGATGGACAGTATCTTGGAGTGGCCTTCAGAGGACTAAAAGGGAAAAAACTTTACCCCATAGTCAGTGCAGTTTGGGGGCACTGTGAAATTACAATGAGATACATCAATGGACTTGACCGTAAGTGTTATCACTTTTTTTTTTGTTACCTTCTTGATTTTTCTCATATAGAGGTTTTTCTTTCTCCTTCTGCTGTGGACAGTATGCTGAGGGGAGCAGACTGTTCAACTGTGAGGAGGCTGCACCCTGTATTTACTGCCCACAATGAATATATCTCTGTGTCTGGTAATGATGGTATGGATTGTGTCAAAATACCTTCCTTCTTGACAGGCAGAGTGGCAAGAATTCTGTGTCCAAAGAAACTGAACGGGCTGAGAAAAAGATACTGAGAGACTTCCTGGGTATATTTAACAGTAGAACTCTTGTTTACTGGAGGATATGTTTTAAATCTGTGGTTTCCAAATAGGATTTGTGGATCCTGTAAAAATTTCCTGTAGTAGTGGAAACTCTTACTTGGTGTGCATAAACATACTTGAAGACTGGCCAGACAACTTTCTTTCTGTAGTTGCCTTCTTAGAACCCTCAGAAGCAGCTGTGGATCCCAAGAATCTGGAAACTCAAATCAAATACTGCTTTCAGCAGTTTTTCTGAAAGAGAGCTGTGTTCCATAGTTCACTTCAGAAGGTAGTCTCTGTCTGGATATCATCCAGAAATCCAGGGTTTTGGATAAGCATGAGCTATTTCTGATCTAACAGGGTAATATCTAATGAAATTGTTAGATGACAAGGAGAAGCATGTTGCTGCTGTGACCCCCAGGCAGTGGCCCAGCAGCAGGTGAGTGACAGAAGTGGGTCCTGTCCAGTTCTCCATGCGCAGGAGGGCGTGGGCTCTGCCAGGTCTGTGCCCAATCACACACAGGAGCATGGACTGCCTCAGAACTGCCTGAACTTGCAGGCAGAGTGAGCAGGCTACTGGCACACAAAAATGGGAGCCAGAATTTCTGTCTCGATGATCTTTAGTCCACCTAATCCTTCAGGGTAGCTAAATTCAAAGAATATACTTTGAATAATACTTCTGTTTCCTTTGGGTATGTAAGTAGAGATGTGAAAAGCAGAGGATCTGTTGCATGGCAGGGCTCAGTAACTGCTGATAGAGCCCAGGGACCTGTGCTGGTGTGCTGGTCAGGGCCAGATCCTGCAAGAAGGGATGCTGCTCACTGTCAGCTTCTCAGCTGCTGGAAACTGGGGAATAAAAGAATGGACAAGGTAGCAAGTGGAACTTGGTTTTATATATATATATATATATATATATATATATATATATATATATATATATATGTATGTATGTATGAAAAAAATAAATGTCTGGGCAACATTTTCATGTTATTTTGGGCTCTTCAAATGGAACATGGTCCTTCAAAAAGGCAGTAAGAGCAAATGTTCAATACTTGTTTTTTAATTAGTAATTTCTAAAAGAATTTACTATCCTTTTCCATGAGGACGGAGTGGTCTAAATATTTTTTCTGTCAAAAATTAATTCTCCGTTCATTAACCTTGTATCTGACGTACCAAGTAGAAACAAAATTAAATAGTTTGACCCTGCTTAAGATTACCTTTTCTAAACATCTGTAATAAGCTCTGAGGGAAAGACTTTTTATCCACAGGAGCCCTGCAGGTTTTACAGCTGGATGCTAAATGGCAACTTCCCAAGTGCTTTCATACAGGGGAATATCCAAGGATCTTAAGTATTTTGCAATTACTCAGCTATTGCAGAATGATGTGCTGACAGTCTTTTTCTTGGATTGTGGGGGAGAGAGACTTTTGCAAACCGAGTATTTGTTTGTGAAAGCAGTTTTTATAATACTGTGAATATCTGCCAAGCTAAGCAAAGTACAGCTCAGCTTTGTCCATCACGTCCACACAAGGAATTGTTCTGCATTCCTTTTGTAGCTTTCACAGGGCTTCTCAAGGGAGCTCTAGGAGGATGAAAACACAGGAGGAGGATGTGAATGAGTTTGGTAGAAATTACAAAATAAAAGGGACTAAGTGGAGAAGGATAGCTGTGGTGTGTGAGATGGCAGAGAGAAAAATTCCCATCTGGTTTCTCGTGGGATAATTTTGCTGGAAGAGGCAGGATAGCTTCCTAAACTATCCCCGAGAAAGTCAAAGTCTGTATTGTTTTTAAACACATAAACCCATGGATAAAAGTTAACTTGTGAACCAAACCTTTATGTAGGCCTGAGTGTTAATCTGATCATGTGAAGAGGAAGTTTAAAGCCACTTGGCTGTGGGGCAGTTTGACATCCTGGAATCACATCATTTGTTATCACATGTTCACTGATCCATTCCTGTCCTGAAACAAAAACAGCATTCAAGAAACGAAATGAGCTTGTTTAGCTGGTGCTCCAGAGCAAACACTGTCTTTTTTTCCAGTAAGGGTGTTTCTATCCAGCCAGCCCTTGTGCAACAGTGCGGGTTTGGCTGTGGCACTCTCCAAGTTTGCACTCATAGCACTTTTGATTGCAGGTTTTTGTGATTGCTTGTTCTTGTGAAAATCAGAGCAGGTATTGAAGAACAGTTGTGTTCACAAATTTAAATACATTTGAACATATATGTATGTGGGGAGTTGTTACTGTTTGATTTCTTTCTAACATTACCAGTTAGCTCTTCTTTTTCCCCCTTTTTTTTGCCCCCTAATCTTTTTTCCCCCTATTCCCTGGAAGTATTTCCTGCTCCGGAGTGCAGCTTTTGGTAGAACTGCCCATAGTAACTTAGCTGGTCTTGGAGCTGCTGTCAAACAGTGCCTGGTAACTTTCTATTCAGTGATTGATTGCTGCCGTTCAGAATGCAAACCACAGCTTGGGATGGTTGTTTGTGTGGAGTCCTGCAGGGCAAACGGAGACCTCCACGGCAGGGATTTCTAGTGTTTTCAATACTTGCTGCTTAAATGGAAGACCTCTGAATACTTTAAAGGCCCCTGTATTTCAGTTGCTTGGCAGAGAGTGAAAGGCTTGCAGGAATGGAAGAGTGAAAGGCTCAGAGGATGGCTTTCGTGCAGCTGCAATGAACTTAAACATACCTCACAGATGATGCAGAGTTTCAAGTGTGTTAATTACTGCAGGGATGGCAGATTCACAGGAGGATAAGGCTGCAGGTCAAAGATCAAGGACCTGTGTCCCCTCTGGGCTCTGGATATTGCTCCTAGAATAATGCTGTAATTAAAATCAGTTGTACTTCCGCCAGCTGCATCTGATACCCACAGGATTCTGTTTCAGAAACTACCTCGAACATCACATGATGATGATCTCTGACTTTACACAAGACATTTTTTCCCCTTTTTTTTTTTTTTTGAGAAAACTTGGAGCTGCAGATGTTTTCAGTGTTTGGGAGGAAAGGCAGAGGGACAGGACGGAGAGTGCTCATAGTAAATTCATTGAGTTCTTCCCAGCACAAACTGCTTTGATCAAACCTATCAGTACCTACCACACTGATGTCTGCCCAGTTCCTAAGCTGGACAGAAGACAGAATTTTACATCAGTCTTCTGACTTACTGCCTATTGCAGTAATTAGAAACCTCAAATAACATAAAAGCAGTAAATGTTACTTTTCAGATCAGGGCATGTGCTTGTTTACAGAAAGCTGGTCTATTTATATCTGGTGTCTGATGAGGAGTCCTGGAGACTATTTATAGACTGGAACAGAGAAATAGCAAAACACTCCTGTGTAAATGTACATTGCAGATCATGACTGATCCATTAGTGTTTAAACAAAGCATTGTGAGGACAATCAATATAACAATGCTGTGATGGGAAACTTGGTCACTGAGTAGGTAAACTGAACTCATTGCAGTTCTTGCACTAAACCTCCCACAGTACTTACTCTATTCTGAAATTAATTGTTGAGCTCAGGAAGCTGGAAGCATTTGTCTCAGAAGAGAAGACTTTACTTACAAGTATAATTTATGGAACACATTTGTCTGTGCCTATTTGTATCCATTCGTGCAGGACCTGGCCCTCACCAACGCAGGTCCCTGGGCTCTATCAGCAGCTGCTGAGCCCTGCCATGCAACAGATCCCCTGCTTGTAACATCTCTACTTACACCCCCAAAGGAAACAGAAGTATTATTCCAAGTATATATTCTTTGAATTTAGCTACTCTGAAGGAATAGGTGGACTAAAGATCATTCAGACAGAAATTTCAGCTCCTGTTTTTGTGTGCCAGTAGCCTGCTCACTCTGCCTGCAAGCTGGCCGAGTTCAGGCAGTTCTGAGGCAGTCCATGCTCCTGTGTGTGAGCTGGGCCCAGGAACAGTAGATCATATTCCTGCATCCTGGGTTGCCTGGGGAGAGGGTGATGATCCCTGTGGCTCCTGCCTCTCCTGGCTGCTGGGGCCCTCACAGCTCTGGGAGGAGCTGGGGGTTGTTGTGTATGGAGGGAGGAGGGGGCTCAGTGCAAATCTCACTGCTTGCTGATACAGCTGCAGGAATTCTGGCTTGTGGGGTCTGTTCACTCCTTTTGCTCTCAGCTGTGCAGAGATCACAGTGCAACCCCTGAAACTCTTTCAGACCTGAGGCTCTGTGCGTTTAGCATTTTGAATTAAAGGTGATGCTTCTAAGCTAAAAGACCAGTTTTGGAGCTATGCACAACTTTCCTACTATTCTCAGTTTATTTTAATTCACATTGGTCTGTGTCTAACATACCACAATTGCTAGTTATGAACATATAGTTTTCCCCTTGGAGGCTTTTTTGCCATAAAGAAATCTAAGTCAAAATTGTGACATTATTAACTGCCAGAAGAAATCCATAATCTCTCATCGCACTCTGGGTTTTCCCCCCAATGGGTTTCAATTAAAATTTCTGAATGGATTTGTTTTTTTGTTTATCTAAACTTGTTTTATGCTATTTATATAATACAAGACTCTGGAGGCTGCAGTGGAAATAACATACTCTGGAAATCCAGTATTGCTAAACCTTAGAAAGGATTTTCCCTACAGACATGCAGTCAGAGGATGAAGCAGCAGCAATTAAGCAGCCAATGCTGTGAAGAAGCAATCTTTAACTTTTGAGATAATTTAACAGGAAACAGCATTTTCAGTGCCTGCTTCAGGAGCCAGATAGCTGT